CTCGACCTACTGGGCTCCGGTGATCCTTCCGCCTCAGCCTTCCAAGTAGCTGGAACTACAGGTGCGCGCTACCACGCCCGGCTAATTTTTTGATTTATTGTAGAGATGAGGTCTCGCCAAGTTGCCCAGGCGGGTCTCAAACCCGCGGGCTCAGGCAATCCAAGGAGCGGGATTACAGGCTGAGCCACCGAGCCTGGCTTACTTATCATATTTTTATATCCTTGAAGAATGTTTGATTATCAAACAAGAATATAAAAACAACTCTGGTTTCTTCCAATTTTCTCCCTCTCAGAAATGACAGTATAATGCAACACTTTATTTTTTCCCCCCCTGAGGCTCCGTGATCATGCTTAATAATAGAACACTTTTCAAAGTAGATCAAATTCCAATCATTTCTGAATGTTTTCTCCTTATATCTTTAAATATATTCACATTTTATGTTTTTGTTACTGTACAAGGTCAACTCTAAAATTACCTGGAATTTTCTTATGCCAGTCATATGGTTCAAGATTTTTTATTGTTTGCTTGTTTAGAGATAGTGGTATAAGTTCAGCACTAACATTTGAGTCGGCTAGAAGAATCTGATAGCTGCTCAGGGATGTAGATGAAAAATATTAAGAGTATGAATAGTGCCTGTAATCCCAGCATTTTGAGAGACCGAGATGGGAGGATTGCTTCAGGGGTTCAAGACCAGCCTGGGCAACATAGCTAGAACTTGTCTCTACAAAAAAGTAGCTGTGCATGGTGGTACACACCTGTAGTACCAGCTACTCAGCAGGCTCAAGTAGGACTGCCTGAGCCTGAAAGGTTGAAGCTGTGGTGAGCCGTGATTGTGCTACTGTACTCCAGTCTGGGTAACACAGTGAGACTCTGACTCAGAGGAAATAGTACGAATAGAATGTGTTTATTTAAATAAAGACAGTCTTTATTTTTATTATTTAAACCTTTTACATTTTACTTATTTTTGAATAGGTAGTATGCGCATATGGTTTTCAACTCAAAAGGTACAAAAAGATATACAGTAGAAAGTCTCCTTCCTCTAGCACCCCAGTTTCCCTCCCTCTGTTCATAGTTCATAGATGCAACCTATGTTCATAACTTTACTTACAAAAACATTTCATAAATTGTGCCAGTAAAGCATCATATATTGATGCAAGCTTTGTACTGAACTCTAATCTCTTCCTGGAGTTCTAAATTGTTAATGACATCAATAGAATGTAAAAGAATGTCTTCTAGAAAGAGTGTCTTCAAGAGAGCAAGGTAAGAAAAGAATTATGAGTCACTGGGCTGGTCAACGCACAGGGTGTAATTAACAACTCTCGAGGTCCATGAAGTCTTACTAAGCTTACTTTTCACTCTATTCAGTAGAGTCACATTTAGAGAATTTCTCCCTCTAATCTTAGGAAGGAAAACAGCATCTTTAAGCTGAAGGAAAAGAATAACCTAAATATTGTTTTCCATCTTCAGCTCCTGTCTAGGTTAGAGGATAAAACAGGCCTATTCTGAAAGTCCACATATACTGCATGTGTATGATCACAATCCAGAATAGGTTTACAATGACAACATACTTGATGAGACTAACCCATGCTTTAAAGAATGCAATCATGCCAGTTCTATAATATTCAGTCTATCTCAGGTAGCCAAAGACTGCTTTCTAAGTCATGTTATTGCTTTGTTGAATAATTAAATATATACAAATTGAAGAAGTACTTTTCCCATTTAACTATGTCACTTTGTGCAAGTTAGTTCTACCTCTTGAGAATCTAGGGATGCTACAGGCTCTTAATTTTAGTACAATTTAGAAATACTGATGTGAACCAAAAGCTTTTGCAAAATTCATAAACTTGGCAAGTA